GATATCCCGAAGTATGATGGGACAACCGATCCACGAGATCATGTAACTGCATTTACAACTGGCGTGAAAGGCAATGACTTGACCAAGCAAGAGATTGAGTCAATGCTGGTCAAAAAATTTGGTGAAACACTCACAAAAGGAGCAGTAACATGGTATTCTCTTTTACCCGAAAACTCAATTGATTCATTTGCTGAGCTTGCAGATTCATTTATAAAAGCACACTTGGGAGCTCAAAAAGTTGAAAAGAGGATGGAAGACATATTCAAGATAAAACAAGGAGATACGGAGCTGCTCAGGGAATTCGTGGTAGATTCCAGGGTGAAAGAATGATGTTACCACGCGTACCTGACAATTGGGCGGCTATGGCATTTGCAAGTAACCTAAATGAAAAAAGCTCAGAAGCCACGAGGAGACTCAAAGAAAGCTTACGAGAATTCTCTGCAACAACTCTAAATTATGTTTACAACAGGTATAGTACAAAGCTGCGGATAGAAGAAGATACCATCACCCAGTCATGGGGAGATGAAAGAGTAAGTTCAAGGCGACCAGAAATTGAAAAAAGGTCTGGCAAGAACAGGTACGAGCCTTACATGGGACTAGCAGGAAGGGATTCACGTTCTAAACAAGAAAACCCGAGGTAGGGTTCCAGATCAAGGAACAGAGACGCGGGATCGTCGTCCAAATTCAAAAAGGAGTGAGACACACGAGGTAGCGACAGAAATACAAAAGCGAAGATTGGTGCTTACAGTTTCAATGTCAGTACATCCGAGTTGGTAGTTGTTTTAAGAAGCATGGGAGATAAGGTGCGGTGGGCAAAAGAAATGAGATCGAACCCCAACAGAAAAAACTTAGATTTCTGGTACGAGTTTCATAATGATCATGGTCATAAAACAGCAGATTGCAGATTGCTACAAGGTGAAGTAGAGCACTTATTAAAACAAGGTTACTTAACCGATTTGTTTGGTGAGAAGGGTAAGCAAGCGTATATGAAGAATAGAGAGGAGCCACAAAACCGTCGTCAATGGTTAATGTCATAAGCGGAGGGGAAGAGGTTAAATGGTGTGACATATACATTAGCAAAAAAGGTGTCAAAAATCACAGTAACCTACGGAAAGCGAGTTCGCCAAGTTTTGGAAGAAGACAGTATAACATTTGACGATGCAGATGCAGACGGCATGTTGATCCCACATAATGATGCACTGGTAATATCTTTACTTCTACATGATACTAATGTGAAACGAGTTTTGATTGATCCAGGTAGCTGTGTAAATATCATTCTATTAAGAGTGGTAAACAAAATGCAAGCTGATGAAAAATTGGTACCCAAAGCACGTACATTATCTGGATTTGACAATTCCAGCGTTGTTACAAAAGGGGAGATAATACTCACCACATTCGCAGAAGGAGTAGTCAAGGTTACACAATTTCAAGTGATAGATATGGACATGGCATACAATATGATTCTCGGCAGACCTTGGATTCACGAGATGGATGTTGTACTGTCTACTTTGCATCAGGTTATTAAGTTCCCTTCGCAGTGGGGAATTAGATAGATTCGTGGTGATCAACTAGCTTCTAGAAGTATCAATTCAGTAGCGAATTCAAGCATACAAAATGACGTTACAAATGAAAAATAGCAATTACAGAATTCAGTTGAGGGTTTAACAACTCAAACCTCAATTGGAGATGGACAAACGGATGTAGACTCAAGGCTTTACACAATTCAAGAGCCAGAAGAGAACGAAAACATCAAAACAACAATTGAGGAACTCGAAGGTGTGGTGCTGTTTATACATTGGCCGGATAGAAAAGTTTACATCGGAACAGACCTGAGCCCAGAGATGAAAGGTAAGTTAATTGAATTTTTAAAAGCTAACACAGATTGCTTTGCTTGGTCGCATTCAGATATGACAGGTATACCCCTGAAGGTGATGACCCATAAGCTGAATGAAGACCCAACACACCCGCCTGTCAAACAGAAGAAACGGAAGCAATGATCCTTTAAAAACCACGTGATTCAGGATGAGGTGCAAAAACTTTTAAAAATCGGGTCTATCCGAGAGGTAAAATATCCTAATTGGCTAGCTAATACTGTAGTGGTATCCAAAAAGAATGGTAAGTGGCGGGTTTGTGTGGACTATACTGACTTGAATAAAGCTTTCCCTAAAGATTCTTTTCCTTTACCACACATAGATCAACTAATTGATGCTACTGCAGGACATGAATTGTTGAGTTTTTTAGATGCCTACTCAGGATATAATCAAATAAAAAAGGACCCTTTATATGAGGAAAAAACTTCCTTTATTACAGACAGGGGGACTTACTGTTATAAATTCATGCATTTCGGTCTAAAGAATGCTGGAGCCACATACCAGAGGTTAGTCACAAAGATGTTTCGGAGCACCTGGGAAAAACCATAGAAGTCTACATTGACGACATGTTAGTCAAGTCAACACAGGCGGAGGATCACATCCAACATTTATCGGATACATTTCAAATTCTCCGCAAATTCAATATGAAGTTGAATCCAAAAAAATCTGCATTTGGCGTATCTTCAGGTAAGTTTTTAGGTTTTCTTATTTCTAACCGAGGTATTGGAGTAAATCCAGCACAGATTAAAGCCATCGAAGAGATACGGGATAAACTCATAAGCAAAAAGAGGTGCAGAGGTTGGCAGGTAGAATAGCGGCATTAGGGAGGTTTATTTCTAAATCTTAAGAGAAAAGTTTTAAGTTCTATTCAGTACTGAAAAAGCAAAGCCAATTTGAGTGGACTGATGAAAGCCAACAGGCACTTAGAAATCTAAAATCATGCTTGTCAAACCCACAGTTGTTGTCTAAACCAAAGGACGGAGAAAGGCTACTCATCTATCTCGTTGTTGCAGAAGTAGCGGTAAGCGCAGTATTAGTTCGGGAAGACAAAGGTAAACAATCTCCAATTTACTATGTTAGCAAATCTATATTGGATGCTGAAACTCGATATCCTCATTTAGAAAAACTTGCTTTAGCATTAATAACGGCATCTAGGAAGTTGAGACCTTATTTTCAATGTCACCCTATCTCTGTGGTGACTGCTTACCCCTTACAAAATATATTGCATAAGCAAGAATTATCAGATAGATTAGCCAAGTGGGCCATAGAACTAAGTGAATATGATATCACATATCAACCTAGAACTGCGATAAAATCGCAGGTGTTAGCAGATTTCGTGGCAGACTTCAATCCAGGGATAGTAACAGAAGCAGAAAAGGAACTGTAGGTATTTAACGGGTCTAACCCAGGTACTTGGGCCCTATTTACTAATGGCTCCTCGAATGTTAAAGGAGCAGGTTTAGGGATTGTTCTAATCCCACCTTCGGGAGAAACTATTAGGCAAGCCATAAAATGCCATCCCATGACTAACAATGAAGCAGAATATGAAGTTGTGATTGCAGGTCTGCAATTGGCACGAGAGCTCGGAATAGAGCAGGTTATAATCAAAAGTGACTCGCAGCTTATAGTAAATCAAATACAGGGGACTTATATAGCTAGAGAGCCGAGGATGCAGCAGTATTTGGAAAAGGCACGTGATTTGATCAGGCAATTCCAATCTTGGAAAATCGTGCAAATACCTAGGGAAGAAAATGTTGAAGCAGACGCATTGGCTAATCTTGCATCCTCTGCAGAAGTGACAAATGAAGAAAACGCTTATGTAATACATTTGTTTCATTCAGCACTCGATCAAGATAAAAACGAGGTAAATTTCAATAATTTAACCTGGGATTGGAGAAACGAGATCGTTGATTTTTTGCAGTACGAAATTCTACCTGAAGACAAGAAAAAGGCTCAGGCACTTCGACGAAAAGCTGCCCGTTATTGTTTGGATCGAGGCAAATTATATCAAAAGATGTTCGGTGGACCTTTAGCAAGGTGTCTCGGGCCTTCTCAAATAGAATACGTGATGAGAGAAGTACATGAAGGACACTGTGAAAATCACGCAGGAGGAAGATCATTGGTAAAAACCCTAATTAGAGCAGGGTATTATTGGCCTAAAATGGAAGAAGAAGCAGAAAGCTTTGTGGCTAAATGTGACAAATGCCAAAGATATGGTAACAATATGCATCGCCCAGTGGAGTTATTACATCCGGTTATTGCACCATGGCCTTTTATTAAGTGGGGGATGGATATCGTGGGTCCACTACCACAAGCCACAGAAAAGGTACGATTTTACTAGTACTAACTGATTATTTTACCAAGTGGGTAGAAGCAGGTGTCTTCAAATAGGTACGAGAAAAAGAAGTTAGGGACTTCATTTGGTGAAACATCATACGTCGGTTTGGGGTTCCAAACCTTCATTTGGTGACGGAACGAATAGAGACATTAAAAAGGAAAGATTCATGAATCATCAGTTAATGAGCATGAATGAGCTCGGACGTCACAGAATCTTCACAAACAGTTACGATTACCAATTATAACGTCTCATAATGTCATTAATGCTCATAATGATTCGGTCATAAAAGGGGAAAAACGTTGTACTTATAGATTCCTATAAAAGGGAAAGAGCTATCATTTGTACAGGGACACGTTCTGATTACTATTGCAATACAATTACTTTCTTTTAATTTGCTTACTATTAGCTATTTTTGCTACTTCATACTTTAATTTCCTTACTTGTCATTAAGTAAATATAGAATTTCTTGATTATCAGTAGCCCGAGTACTTCTTAAAATAAGCTTTGATCGAATTACTCAATTTTTGGTTAAACACAAAGTTAAGTATATATTCTTGGTTGAAAAGCCAACGCTTTATATGAATTTCTTCGTTGATAGGCTTTAAATTGAATTCAGTTTTCTTTTTCTTCTAAAGAGAAGCCTTTAAAAGAAGTCGTGAATATCATCCACTAGTATTAATTAACATGGGAAGTCATCAATCTAAGTCTTTTGTTATTGCAATAGATTGGAATACCTTCAAAATCTTCAATGTTACAAAACAAGCCAGTTATCTGCTTACAACTTTTCAAAGAAAATTAAGGATGCTTCGCTCAATCATTGTTATAAATTAAAATGTCAATTTTGTAAGTACAAAATAAGTCTCTGCATAGTCAAATGTGGTTAGTGGATCCTAACCCAAATTCCCTCGCTTGGGATATCTTGATGGACCACAAATAACATATAGTAACCAGGTGGTGCTAATTTACCCGATTTTGGAAAGACAAAGCTGACTTGATAGACGAATTTTCCAATCAATCTTACAGCTCCACTTGAAAATACCAACATTCTTTGGTTCATAGTAAACGAATGTGTATTAAATCCGGGTGCAACCATCGTTACTTTGATCAAATCTCTGTTCAGTAATCCAGAAACAGTAAACTGAATGTTAACTCGTTGCCCATACTTGAATTTATGACGGGAAGCAGGAGAAATGATTTGTGGTCTCAAATTAGCAGATTCCGAATCCAAATAGGATGGTGAGAACGCCTCCAAGTTTAACTCAGTTGGAAAAAGAACTCCGGTGAAGTTGTAAAACTCATTTGGGTTACTACCACCAACAAGAACCCGACCATCTCGAAGTAAAACCGCTGTTGAGTGGTACATTCTAGGTATGGTATTCGGGTTCTGTACCTCGAATCTAGAATCAAGTGGGTTATCAGGTCGATAAATCACAGGACACAAGACCGGATCCCTACCAAGTTCCCATCCAGCGGCGCCCGCGGCAGCTCCATTTAGGATCAAAACATTTCCATTTGGTAAAATTATCATATCCCCCATTGTTCGAGCCAGTGGCATGGTTTCCATTGTCCACTGTGGATCCGGGTCGGTAATTGTAATCCGGCCACAAGTATTTAATGCACCCAAAAAGTCACCTGTTGTTGCTTTGAGGTATGAGCCTCTTGGTGTTCCACCACACACCAAAAACTCAGCTTGGATCGTTTGTTCTTGCAAGTTCTTTAATGGAAGAAGAACTGCAGAACCCGTACTTGGATAATTTCTTGGATCACCACCAGGTATTTGTGGGTACGTTTTCACTACCGTGTTCATCATGTAATCGAACAAGATAGCTCTGTCATTGGCGAAAATGAATAGATTTCCATCTACATTGAGAAAAACAAAAGGGTAAAGATTGTTCTCCTCCATAGGATCATTAGTCTGCTCAAGAAACGGCAGGCTAAATACGTTGTTGGTTGAAGTAGTCTTGGGATAAAACTCGTAGTTAAAAGCCGCACGACCGCCAATAATAATTTGCCTTCCATCTGGAAGCATATGATTGGTAGCATACCATCGGCTTTGAATTAAGCCATTTCCCATTTCTTGCCAGTCACAAGTGCTCCTTTTTCCCGTGATGCACGGTTTGAAAACTCTTACGACGTTTACACCGTCGTTGAAACCACCAGTTTGAACCAAAGAACCGTCGGACATAGCGGAGCCAGAGGAGCACCACACGTTGGTCTGGACCATGAGTGGACGTACAGAGTTGGTGGTGACGTCGAATTCTACAGAGTGAGCAGTGCAGTCAACTATCAACGCGAGGTCATTAGAGTTGTTGCGGCATTTGCCATTCGGCAATGCAATGTTAGATGCGCCAAAGTCAGTACGGTCGAACATGACGACTCTATCGTTGTTGAGAAGTTGCATGTGCATGGCTGAAATGCCAATGTCGGACATCAGTAGCTCCCACGTGCCACCAACCGCAGCGTCAGCCGAGTTATGGTGAAATGGTAGTAGTAGAATAAGCACAGGCAACTGCCAAAGAAAATCGGATAAAAGAATAACTGCTGTTCTAGTCGTCATTAATTAGCTGTTTTGATTTTTCTTTGTTTAGTAGGCTAGATATGGTGTAGAGGCTGTATTTTTCTAAGTGAGAATGTATATGGTTAAGCGAAGTGATGATTTCCTTTATATAGTGTCTCGATAGGAAATGGAGTAGTAGTACAAAAGCTAACAATGGTTTGCATAAATAATTGTGGAGCATATAATAAATAGTATATTTTACCACTATTAGTAGGATAGGATTAAACTCTTTTAAGACTACTTTACAGAGCAAAAGGAGTGTTATATCACTAGTAGAATGGAAAGAACATACTCTAAAACGAACAAAAGGTGGAATAAAGTGTAGGAGAAAAAAGTTCACGTGTGTGAAAGATGGAGCAAAAAGTTGTGGGTGCTTTTTTAGCATTACATTACAGGTAATTGATGCATACAAGGAATATATACGAGTTGTATGCTTTATAATTACTTTTAACCTGGTCGAATATTATCATCAATAAAAAAAAGATACTAAGTAAAAATAGAAAAGTCCATAAAATGTTATTAATTGGATTTGTCTAAGATCTCTCTTGTTCTAATTAATAAGCTGTTTGTTCGATATCAATTACTAGTAATTACTTGTTTTCTTATTTGATATGTTGATTGATTCTCAAGGAATGTATAAAAGTTTTTTTCACTTTTAGCCCGCGCCATAAACAATTTCTATTTGATAGCTAAAAAAGTATATAAAATTTGTATAATTTTTGTATATAGCATATATATATATATATATATATACACACACACACACAAATAAAATATACATTTTCGGCTATTATTTTAAGAGCGGCTATACAGTATCATTTTTTCATGTATTATATGTATAAATACCTTTAAGGTGGAATACATTGTTAACCCCTTAAACTTGTCCGTATATTTCAGCTAGATATTTGGATTAAGGCATGTTCCATTTAAGCACTGAAAACATGATAAAGTATTCATATAGACGCTTGATGTTGAATTGGAACTGGCCTTGGTTCAAGTGTGTAAATGAAATATACTAGTACTAGCAAACTTGAGGGGCTATCGACAGAAACGGAGTTAGGATTTCAAACTTATGGGTTCAAAATCTCAATACTTTTAAGTTACTGGATTCTAAATTAATTGTTTATATAATATATTCAATGATTTTTTCCAAGATAAATAGATTATTTGAACTAAAACTATTGTGTTCAACTGAACATGTAATTGGTACTTTGCCTCCGCCACTGGCTATCAATGTATTCTATTTGCTATATTTTCCTTTTAGCACAAATGAATAAAGCTGATCAACTTCACATAAATAAATGCTGCTCCGCCACACATACTGGAGAGTATTTTCGCAATATTAATATTAAAAACATTAATTTTATTCCCTAGGCTTAATTAGTGGAATCAGTATATATATCAATTACCATTTGCCTGATCTCAAGCATACAATTGATTTTGCCTTCGTTTCTGCTAAATGTTTTCAGTTTGTTCTTGTCGCCACCCCAATTTATTTCCGTAGGATGTCATTATCGCACCTAGTCTCTAAGACTAGGTAAGCCTAACACTTACTGAATTATTAGAAGAATTAAATCATCAACTGATAAATATGAAACATAAATCTTTATATACAACTTACAATTCCAAAACCGGTAGTACAAGTTATAAGCTCTACTGAGTTTACTAGAAGAATCCCTAAATATAACTGTTTGAAATGGAAATTAAACAGTACAAGTACAATATCAGAAGGTGACTCCGAGGCCTACAGCCAGCACAAAAATATGCAGAAGCCTAGTATGAGTACACCACAGCGGTACCCAGTAAGTATCAAGACTAACATCGGTGGAGTAGTGACGAGGAACGGTCAAGACAACTACTGGACTAAACAACCTGAACAAGTGTGAAGATGAACTAACATAGAGACAATATTAATATAAAGCTAAGTAGGATAAGGAATATAAAATAAACTTGCAATGACACACTAGTAACAACAATATTCAATAGGAAGCAATCAGGTAATAATGTTGTAGAGTAGCTGATCACAGACTAAGTCCGGTGAAACCAAATAAAGGAAAACCAACGACCGCTTTCACACCAGATCTGTTCAAGCATTTCCACGGGTTACTGAACCTCATAATCACAGCTCGTGTGTCCCAATTCATGGACCCTAATCACTTGGCATCTTGTGCCCACATTACAACTCATAACCGCACGGACGACTCACATGCCAATATAACAATCCTCACACATAGGGCAAGTAGACAAGAGTACGTATAATTGTCACTAACGTCAGGACCATCTTTTAAAACCGATTTGGGTGATTTAATTACATGTATGCTTGTGTAAGTGTTCTACCACAATTCAAGTCAACAAATAAGAGTAGAGACAATGAATAGAACATAGAAACGATCACCACGAAATGTACAGTGCAATAACGGCAGCAATGAAGTTGAAGCAACAACTAGCACAACAAGATTAACTACATAGAAATAAGAAAATAATGCAACACGGAGGAAGGCAATTAATAGTATGCTAAGAAGACAATAATCAAAGACAAGAATAAAAGAATGGGGAAATGACAACAAGAGCCCTCCCGAGGTACCGCCTCGTAGTCTCAAATCATAAAATGAATCACACGCTTTCCTTTTATCACCGCGGGAGCCTTTTCATTTAGTTTTTGAAAATCATTTTTCTCGAAATAGCATCCCGCGTTTTAGCCCACCTTATCACACAGCATGGCTTCTAGTAGTTTCCCTACTAGCCACGCGTTTCAAGCCCACCTTACCTCACTACATGTGTTTCAACACCCAGACCTTATACCACCACATGCGTATCAATAATAACAACAGAATGGCAGAAACCTCGTGCAACACAATAACAACCATACGGCAAAAACCTCGTGCAAACACAATAATAATTCTCTTAACAACAACACGTGTGCCAAAACAAACAACTCAAACAAATGACTTTCACAATATGTGCCCACATGCCACCACATTTCCTCATAACAGTTTCAATATCACAACCACGCATAGCTCTCGGCTCAGCAACACTGAATACAATAGCAATAACGACAATAATACGAGAATATAGCAAGTAAATCAACTCAAAAACTTCAGAACACAAGGAAATGGGAGAACGAGCTCACAAAGAAGACACAACATGGGGTAATGGTCTCAACAAGGAAGAGATAATGTGTAGCAATAATTTCACAAAAGTACAATTCAACGATAAGAGGGATAACATGAATTAATGATTCCAAATAAGGATAAGTCAACAATGATAAGGGATAACAAAACTTCATTTAGGGTTGAGCAATTACGGAAGAGATACAACAAATTCAATTAAGGATAAGCAAAGTATAGAAAAAGATAGTAATAACTTCAACTAATGATAGGAAATTACAAAAAAGATAATAATAACTTTAATCAAGGATAAACAATTATGGAAAGAATAGCATGGCAATAAAAGAGGCAACAACTTCAGTTAAGGCACATAAGAGTCTAATCGACAATAAGGGTAAAACATGAAGCAATAAATTATATTCCAAATAAGACACGTAAGGGTGAAATTAGTAAATGAGAAATTTAACATGACAAAACAACTTTATATTTAATGGATATAAGAACCTAAGAGCACTAAATGGTCAAATTTTCACAAATAAGTCCGAGCACGTACTCCACCTCGTGTACTCGGCCTTCACATGACACAATTAGCACGAAGGACTCAAATCCTAAGAGGTAGTTTCCCCCACACAAAGTTAGGCAAGATACTTACCTCAAAGAAGCTAGACCAATACTCTAAAATGAATTTCTCGAGTGAAAAAACCTCCAGACGGCTCAAATCTAGCCAAAATAACCTTAAATCATAAATAAAACTCATAGAAAACAATTCTGAATAATAAAGGTTCAATCTTTAACAAGAACTAAAAACTCAATCCAAAAGTCAACCCTCGGGCCCGCACCTCAGAACCCGATAAAATTCGCAAAACCCAAACGCCCATTCTGATACGAGTTCAACCATACCAAAATTATCAACTTCCGATATCAATTCGTCGTTGAAGTCATCATTTTACAATTTGAAAGATTTCTTCAAAAAATTTCATTTTTCCTCAACTCAAAACACTAATTTAATGATAAAAATAAGTATGAAATCATGAAATATAATAAATTCAGGGTGAAGAACACTTACCCCAATGATTTATTTGAAAAACACACGAAAAATCGCTCAAATCCGAGGTCTATAACTCAAGATATGATAAAAATGGCAAAACTCTCGATTTTGGAAAATATAATGTGCTGCCCAGGTAACAAGCATCGAGATCGCGGAAATTCGTATGCGATCGCGAAGAAGGAATCATCAGCTGCCCAGAGAAACACTACGCGATCGCGAACAAAGAAATGCGATCGCGAAGGTGAAATATCACTGCCTCAAAGAAAAGCACTATGCGATCGTAGACAGAAGAGTGCGAACGCGTTTCACCATAGCCTCAACGTACGCGATCGCTGTCCTGACCATGCAAACCCGAAGAAGAAATTATTGCATGCCAGCAAATACACTACGCGATCGCGGCTAACACTACGCGATCGCGAAGAAGGTTATCAGACACCCGTCATCAGCAACTCCAAACAGGGGGAATTTGACCCGTAACCCATCTGAAACACACTTGAGGCCCCCAGGACCCCGTTGAAACATACCAACAAGTTCCATAACGTACCACAAACCCGCTCGGGATCTCAAATCACATCAAACAATATCGAAACTACGAATCGCACCACGAATCGAACTTATGAACTTTCAAATCTTCCAACTTCCAAAAACTCGTACCGAAACATATCAAATCAACTCGGAATGACGTCAAATTTTGCATGCAAGTCCCAAATGACATAATGGAGCTAATCCAACTCTCAGAATTGAAATCCAACCCCCATATCACCAAAGTCAACTCTCGATCAAAACTCTCAACCTTCCAAAAAACTACAACTTTTCAATTTTCGCCGAAATGCGTCAAATTATCCTACAGACCTCCAACTCCAAATCCGGATGCACGCCTAAGTACAAAATCACCATAAGAAGCTATTGCAATCATCAAAAAATCA